TTCATCGCACTTCGTTTCTCGCATGGCCCGGGTGGCTTTACGTGAAGCTCCAAAGTGGATAAATCGGCTTACATACCTGCTCCGAAACAGGCACCGAACAGCTCATACGGCGTAAGCTGAGCTGGTCTCCCTCTCTTTCCCTCATCACTATCGCTTCTCGCGCAGTGGATTGTTGCCCATACCAACAATTCCCGAAACTCCGCATCGTCTTGCGCAGCAGCATCAGCAACAGCCTTTTGGGTTGAAGAGAAACTCCCGCGCCCAGGGTATTTAAACTCCCTGTCAAAACGGGTTTCTCCTTGCAAGCAGAAAGCTTGGGAATTCCCGCAGCTGGTTTGGTTGGAGACTCAACCTACCTCGATCCGATCGCTATCCGTGGAACCGGAGCTCCAGTCGACCCAGCTGCACTAGGGCCAGACGCTGCTCTCCAGATCCAACCCTTTCCCTGTGCGAGGATTTGGGAAAAAGGACGGGCCCGTGCTCGCTGTCGATCCGGCTCGCCCAAGTCTGGTAGTAGCCCTTAAACTCAGAAGGAGGGGGGCGCTTTAAACTCGCGCCATCGGCCCTCTTCTACGGTTCAACCATCACCGTCAGCTCTCTCGACTTGTCATTCTCTCACCTTCGCACCAGAGGTTCCCACTCCTCGTCTTCCCCCCAAAGGTTATTTGCCTCCCCCTCCCTGCTTTTCTGGAGTCCCCCGATTCACTCCCTTTTCCCCCCTCCCTCCCCCCATCCCATTCATTTTTTAGCTCGGGACATCGTCCTAGCTTTTTCTGCAACGGCCGATAACAAAGAAAAGAAATTCTGACAGCCTGTCAGGCGGGATTGTTCTGATCCTATTCACTGCTATTCTTCCTCTGCTTGGTGTCGAAACGCCAGTGTCACCCTGGCCAATCCGTCTAGCCGAGTTACTGGGAAACCTTGATCAAGGGTGGTGTTAACCTTGATTGATTTTACCTCTTTGCCCCCCTTTCAACTAGGTTCGAACCTACAAACAAACGCAAAACAATGGTCAACGGCACCGCTACGGTGTTGGAGCCCACCTTTACGGGATACGTCGCGACAACACAGGATGCGCTGATTCTTTTCGAGGCTTGTCTGACGGGAGTGTTGCACCATGTGCCCCGTCGGCCCCACGATCGCGAACGTGGTCACCTGGTCCGCAGTGGCAGTGTGTTCATCTACGAGGAGAATTCGTCGGGAATTAAGCGATGGACGGATGGAGTGACCTGGAGTCCCAGTCGAATTTTGGGCAACTTTCTCGTCTACCGCGAACTGGAAAAGCCATTTCCTCCCGGCGAAAAGAAGCGAGCGATGAAGAAGGCCAATCGACGCCCGGTGCCTTCCACGAGACCTGGGGAGCCGTATCCGCGACAGGACAGCAACGGCGGCTATTCGCCGTCTTCGACACCCGGTCAGTATCCTGGAGACCGACCACACCAGTCGGACGTGGAGAGAGCGTTGGTGGGCTCGCTGGTGGACTCGTATGGCTTCAAGGATTCGGGACTCGTGAAGAAGACGATGAGTGTGACGGTTTCGGGGGTGACACACCACCTGGTCTCGTATTACAGCGTGGAGGACGTGATGCGCGGGCTGTTGAACCCACCATCGATGGTCGACTCGCTGCGGTACATTCGGCCTCGTGCAGAGCTGACGCAGAAGCAAAGCTTCCGGGCACCCATCGATGACTTGGAATCAGGAGGCTTAGAGAACCCGAACGACCCCCATACGATCTACGGATACCGACCTCAGTTGGTAGCACCGCCCGGGTATGCGATCCCCAATCCTCATCCCGAATTCTATATGCACCCCGCGCCGTATGCTGCTACGCATGCTCCGCAGACTGCGGCCATCCCGGGATACTCGATGGCAGGGTCGATTTCGGCGCAGCCAGCTTCCAACCCGTATCTCCCCGCGCCGTCTGCACCTACCCAGATCCCGCAGAAGCCAGACGACTACTCTCAATTCCGGACACCCACTCAGTATGGAACGAGCTTCGATGCTCTGGGTCACAATGCGCTGTCGTCGTCGATCCCTTCTGCACTCAACACGGGCATTCCGAGTTCCTTGAGCGATCGCAACCGATCCCAGTCGGATCACAGCCCTTCGGCCTATCGCAACTCGTCAATATCCTCACGCAGCGTTGCGACCGACGCGACCTCGCCCATCGATCCGGCCACGCCGGCCACATATTCACGCGGAGGAAGCTTCAGCCTGGGTCCGCTTGATGGACCGCATCAACCACTGGAACAGCGTGGCATGTCTGCGTTTGACCCGGGCATCCCGCGCCGGGAGTCGAACCCGATGCATGCGCCTTATTACCCGGGCGCAGACCGGCATCCGTACTACGTGAGCGCTACCGCGCCAGCAGCTCATGCCAATTACCCCGTGTCGACATGGGCAGCGGCTGCTGCTCCGGCGCAGCCTCAGATATGACTCTGAATTCTCCAGCGACCATAACTTGTGGTTTTACCCTCGCTTTAACTTTATTTCTCACACCCCCCTCTTTATTTTCTTCCGTACGAATTTTATTTTTCTGTTGTTTCTCAGAAGGGCGGCAATTTGGGAATAGACTATGCATATACGCTGTGGATGAATACCCGGGTGGGAAAACGCTCTTAGAGGAGACATGGGTGGCTTTTTCCTTGTTGCTGCTGCTTCTGTTACCCCTACGATGATACGATGTCGATCAAAATACCTTCTTTTTTTTTTTTTTATATTTTTATTAGCCTGTTCGCGGGTAGTACCCTGGGGGGTTTTCTGGGATTTATTCTGTGTTTTCGCTGTTTGGTGGTCTATGATTTGTTGCGAGTGTGGATTGGTTTTCTGTCTTTTTCATGCGATTATGAGCAATGGGACGGTTTTGGGTGGCATGGTTCTGGGGCGGCTATCTGTCAACACTTTTGTTTTTGTTTTGTTGTTCGTGCTACGTGCTACTCTACGTGATGCTCATTGCTTTTGTGTCTGTGTGCTTGGTCCGCTATCATCATATCCTTAGTTGTTACATATGGGAGAAACCATGGGTTCTTAGTGGTGTACATGGAAACTATTTGACGAGATGATCCCATCGGTGATGCATACAACCAATCGATCGATCAATCAATCAACAATCAATCAATCAATCCTGGGTTTCAAGCTGGATTTGTTCTTGGCAAATATTAATGGGTTGTGGTTGTGGTTCGATTTGATGCTACGGAAGGGCTTCTTCTTGTCATGTGCGGGAAGGATAAGTTGGTGATATCATCAATTATCATCTCATCACATCATTGTCGGGGTCTAGACAGGATGATTATTCATTCACTCGTTCGGTTGATTGATCTATGAGAATGCAGTAGTTCGCTATAGCCACGATCATCTTGAGTTATAGGCATATAACTTGTAAGATTCAATCAATCAATCAATCAGTGGCTGACTATGCATATGATTCTTCTTCCTGAACTGTGTACTTGTAGTGTACATATACGTAACATGAAATAAATTTGAAGCCACTCAATATCTCTAATGGTCTAGACCCATCTACTTACTACCTTACTAGCTAGTATATTGGTATGTGTTGAAAAAACAAGGAATTGAGTAGTAGTCAGAAGAAAGAGAAGGTACATAGTGGATTGGGTTGTAATAAGGTAGTAGTAGTAACTAAGATCGAGGCGACCGATCGATCGAATCGAATCGAACCGAACCGGGAAGTTTAAGGCAGTGGTAGTAGATAGTATGGGTGGATGTGGATGTGGGAAATGGGTGAAGAAGTTTAATGTCACGGTGACACTTGACACTTGACACTTTGCTTTTGGCTATCTCCACCGTGGACACCTCCACTTCTTACTTGCGAGGGGATCTAGACCACTGCTGTAATTTTCTCTCTCTCTTCCTTCTACTCACCAATATAATTGAGGGTTGTATGTTATGTGCTGAGTTGATTATTGATGTATAGGTTAAATAATTGGGTGGACTCTCTATATAATTTGGCTCATCTCTGACTCCGATAATACTAATAATGATGATAATAATGAGTTCATTGCAAGTTCTTAATAAGTACTTGTATGTTTTTAAGTAAGTATGTAACTGTGTAATTTATGTACTTACTGACTATATTCTATTCTTTAATATCAGTATACTAGTAACATACGAACAGCTCTCGTATATATATAATCTAATACAGAATATATTGTTAGTACTAGTAGTATTTAAATTCAGCTGGGCTAGGTAAATGTACGCCTTTATACACATCATGAAATTATATGTGTGTAAACTACATGTAGTAGGGTTTGATTGTGGCTAGATAATCTTAGGTGGTAGTCTAGTCTGTAGAAAATGCTCTATATCCCTCAATCTACTATATACTCAGAACTATGAGGTTCGTATATACTATTAGCAGTAGTCACTTTAGTAAATACTCAATTAATCTGTGTGGTGGTTATGTGTGAGTTGTAGATGGGTGGCTGTTACGTCACTACTTTCTTACTTACCAAGAACCTTACGTGACCATACCGTATTATACAATACAGTAAGAACATTACCGGGGTAGTTGCTTACATAGTATTATCTAGTTGTTCTGTTCGTTGTATGGATGTAGTCATTTCCTCTTCACCGTTTGTTTATATTTTACGTTGGGTGCTATACTAGCAAAGTACTAGGTGGTGATTATATAAGGGGTCTGTTAAGGCTAGTTTGGTAGGTTCGATGTAAGAATAATGGTGGTGGTGATTAGTTGTTCGGTGTATATATCCTAACTATCTAGTATTTACTATCTTGTGGTTTCGACAAATTGTGCAGATTGGAGAATGATGTCGAGGATTAGCAATTCATCTCGTAGTGGTCTGTGAGTGATAATGGTACTATAATGACGTATAGTATAAGTTGGAGGTGAACTAGACAGTATCTTCACATTGAATTATATCACTGCGCATCACCCAATTCTATCATTCTTGTATCCCGGGTATCATGCTAGTCGCTAACAAAGACAAGACAATCAAATCAGACAGCCAACTCCATGCTAAATGCTATTTAGTATTTCCCTTGCTTCGTCGCTCCATTCGTCGCTCGGTTCGCTGCCCATTTCGTACGTTGGTCACTTCCGACGTCACATGCGCGTACCTGCTGCTTGACCCATGTGCATTATCCAACAGTAATCGCATTGTGAAACTTCCCGGATCGAATCCCGGTATTGCAGGAATGGGCTGGTTGGGGTTGAGTCCCGATTTGCCCGGCAGCAAGGCGGGGATCTTGTTAACTCCACGCAACGGTTCGATCATCGTCCAATCGCGGGTCACGTCGCGTCGGACTTCGTTGTCGTCTTGTGCGATTCCGCCGTCCGGGGAGATCTGCAGCAAACTCCGATGTCAGTATATATTCCTGCATGACTCTGGATTTCCAATGTATGCTCAAGGGAATTGGGTACCACGTACGCCAGATGAAAACTTCCGCCCCGGCATATGCACGTAATCATCGAACGAGCTTTCTAGGGCCGCAAAATTGAACCCCTTGTCTGCCGTGAGGGGCTCGAAACGCTGGCCCACTTCTGTCCGGAAATCCACCGGCCGTCGACGCACGGGCTTGTATCGCGGTAGGGCTAGCAGGGGCCCCGGGTAACTCGACCACCAGCATTGGACGACTGGAGCAATGTCCAGCGCAAATTGAACTCGGCTCTCCGCGCGGGGTTTCGAGATCAGCATGGCGAAGGTGAACTCGCGCGGCAGGCCCGATCGCTGCAGGTTGTTCTCCTCTAGGGTCCACACGATCTCGCCGCCCTCAACGTCGAAGGCTCGGCCGCGCGGGCTTCTGAGCGATCGCACCGACCCCTGGATCCGCATCATCTCATACCGCTTATAACGTCCGTTCATGCCACCGCTGGGTGAGAGACTCGCGACGAGAGGGAGGTCAGAAACTCCAAGCGAGCCGCTGAGGCTGTAGTTCCATTGTAGGGTTTCAGGGGAAACGGCGCCGTAGAGGAGGTGCGGGGCATGCATGAGGAAGCGGGGATGGCGGGTCCGGTTGCTTGACGATGACTGCTCCCTTGCGCTCTGAACAGAGGCCCGAATGGTGGCTGCTTTGAAGCGATGGGAGAGTGTATTGGGCGAGTGGAAGACGAAGGTGATACCGAGGAAGTCCACGTGGTTGTGGTCTTGGTTGGACACGGCGGGACTGGCGTAGAACCCGTGCTGAAGACGCTGCACGTGTGCAGTAATGTACGCATCTCCTGGAAGGTGTCGCTCGTAGATACAAGCGCCATTCACGAGGAGACGGGGGTTGACAAGGTTGGGGTCCGGGGTGGCTGTTGGGTCAGAGGGTGGTTGTTTAGCTTGGCCGGCTGGCTTCAGGGGGGACGAAGAGTCCGGCGCTGGAGCGGCAGGACGGTCGATTGTCACCATGGCCATTGTAGGATGCGCCATGGTGAAGGATGGTGTTTCTCCTCCATCGCGGTCATCCCGAATACCCATTGCGATATTGTTGTTGGATCTCCATCAGAAAGGAGTGCGGAGGAGGAGGTCGGAGGAAAAAGTGCTATGGTATGTCGAAGTGATGGGTGCGTTTTGCGGGTGGAATGCCCGAGTTTCGCGACCTTATCAGCGAGACCATTTTATCCAGCGTTGGGGAAGGACGATGACGACAAACGAGTCGACAGATGGACGAGGTTATATCAGGTGAGAGAGGCGGCGCGGGTCAGCTGGAAGTCTGCGATGGCCGCATGGGTCGCGGGCGCCAAGAGGAGCAGAATCAGTCGACAGCGATCATTACGAAGACCATTGTCAGGTGAAAGAAAAGGGTCTTTCGATGAGAGACTGACCTCGACGGAGGTGATGAGTTGAGGGAAGGGGAGGCAGCATGGAGGATGGTTGAAAATGAGATAGTTGTGGAGTCGGAACGAATGATGGAGGCGGATCCAGTCACGGGAACCTTATTTCCATCGCCCCCGGAACTTCTTACTGCGCTTCAATATCTCCATTATCAGACGGCTAATCTATCTGATCTCAGACTATGCAAGGGGCCGCAGGTTGATCTCTACTAATCGCTACTAAAACAGCGCTAATCCAGATATCCAGCTCCTATAGTAGTCGCATCGCTATCAGCTGCTACAACGATCAGGAGATCCAGTTGATGTTATCCACCGCAAGATCCAGTTATTAGGTCTGATCTTGCGATCTAAAGAGATCCAGTGTCTGCTTGAAAACCTGTTGGTTTGAGTCACCGTGTGGATCATAGGTAGATAGAGGGAGGCATCGCCATGAGACTCAACTACAGTTCATGACTAGCGTGTATCGTGATCTATAACTAACAAGGTTCGTTCACGGCAAACCACCAGGCAGACAGAACAAACTTGCAATATCCCATTTTATTGAAATTGTCTGATCATAGAAACAGTTGCAATTCCTGACGGCCTGCTCCAGGCTGACTGTGACCAGAAGAGGTGTTGCTTGGGCAGCATTGGAGATTCGTATCAGGCTCTCTGACTACAAGCTACCACCGTTATGATAGAGAATGCCGTTATTGGTCTATTTCAATGAGGCATTTTGGCCGTGGAATACGTGTACAGACCGCTGCTTACAGGTTCATCCATTCTCCCTAAATATAATATACTGTCGTCTCGTGTCCGGTCTAGACTGCCAAGGCCCAGTCCAGCCACCATGCAGGACTCTAATACACTAAGTGAGAAGATGGAAGCGTACCAGGGTAACTCATGTTTCATGATCGACCGATGCTGGTTCGCGAGCAGTGTGTAGCTGGAATAAGCGCGTGTCGATCCATCCCAAGGACAAGCTAGCAACGGGCTAGTATTGATTAGCAGGAAGGCTTCATGGTTGACAGCACTCAATCACCCTTGTTGGTCAGTGAGGAGCTGGCCCTAACACGTCCAACTCCATGCATCGAAAGATATACTCGGTACTGATTGTTGCACCGATCCGCTTCATTTCAATTTGCATCTAGATCTGATGGCAACGACACAGCATGGTTTGTTTCCTACTACAGTAGTTCTATCCTGCATTTTGTTCCACACAAGAGCGATGCCACAGCCTCATAGACACGACAATCGGGATTTGGTTGGGGTGAACCGGCAACGGATGCCGAAAGAGCAACGCCATTGTGGGGTACTTCCCTGCAGGTTATGCATATAGCCGTGCTATCCGATGTTGAAAGAAAGCAGGGATTGTTGGTCAATGCGACTTTAGCTGAGAATCACATCGACAGCGGACAAGACGGTCTTGCTCCGGAAGGAGACTCGGTTACTCGACCAGCCTATACCCGTCGTCGAACACGTGGATCTGGCGGTTTCGCGGCTTGGACATCAACCACCATACATCCAGAGCGCATGCTAATCCGTCAGATGATGCAGATAGACAGGATACGTCGATCAAGACACGGCAAGCCATAACATCGACACGAGGGTATAACGCCAGGTGAACTGTTCCAAAGAAACCGGATTGTGTCACCGGTGGCCGCAAGGCAGTTCCACGCCAAGAATATAAAAGGCAACGGAAAGCTATTGGCGAGTGGCTAGCAGCCGGGCAGGCTGGACCGTGGAAGATAGTAGTGGCTGGATTGAGATGCAGCGGTGCGAAAGACCGCGGACCCTGGCCTAGAGTGACCGGGCATACTTGGGGCTAGTGCCAACTAGGCACTCTCACCGAGCAACGTGCAGGCTGGCATCGCAATTTTGCGTCCAGGTGCAGGGAGCCACTAAGCATGAAGAAAGCCACAGTAGATAGATAGATACTCACAAAATCGAGGAGTGAAAACGAAGCAAGAGACTAAAAGTTTACGAGCCACCCCGCGCTTTGCGTAGCTGCCTGAGCTGACCGCAAACTGTGCATGGATCTGTCCGAGATTGCCGCTGCTATACTCAAGTTTTCACTGGAAGAGCACATGCACAGATCCAAGACTGGCGCTAATTACGTGTGGACTTTTGCATCCAAACCCCGCAGTCTGAAATTTCTCCGGTGTAGGCGATGCAGTGCGGTGCCGTGTGATGCTCAGTTTTCCGAGCGCATGCTTGAAAATAGCACATTCCACCCTAGGAAACAGGTTGTGATGGCGGGGGATGTTCAAATATCAGTCTAAAATATCAGCCTAGGGGGAATCTCTGGAAAGTGGTCAAAGGTATATATTTCTTAGTCCACTGGAAGCTCAGCAAGAACCAGATGGGGAGCTTGAGCTTGGGAGTGGAGGCGATCCGTGCAGGGAAGGGCTAGACTGATACCATAGTGAACAGGAAGACGGCCATTATTGGTCAGATAAGTGAAGTTGTTGCCTGTACGCGGTAATCCTAAGGAGTCAGCTGGTGGCCCAAATGGTGGTTGGGTTGTTGCTTGGAGGAAAAAATGTGGGAGATGGAGGGGGAGGGTGTGAGTGAGGCCCAAGCGGTGTGATGGGAGAAAATGGAGCAAACAGGGAAAAAGGGGAAATCAAGAGCACAAGGCGATCCGAAAAGGCCTCGGAATCCCAATTGGAAACGACACGAGTAGGGCGAGAACCGGCACCCATCAGATCTGACAGATCGCACCCGGTCGGCATGGCAGTCCCGGGTGAATCAGGTGTGGCTAATCGAGTCCAAGCTCCTGCCCAAGAAGGTTCAAGTTGTTTCATGGAAAGATGAGAACCAACCAGAGGCCACGGCCGGAAAAAGTACGCGGAAGGGGAAAAAAAATAAAAGAGAGCGATCGTGCAACTTTGAGCTGGAAATTGTGGCTGGACTTGCAGGAATCATCAGCAGCAAGAAGCAAGAGCAGCAACAAGCAGCAGGCTTACTCCATAGTCGGTTCCGAGCCTGTGGCCAAACCCACTTGACTGAATCGTTGGCTGACTGGGTTTGGTAGGGAAGTGGTCGGCAGGCTGACTCGAGGGTGCCGGGGACCCCGTTCCGGAGTAGTGCCGATTGAGCTCAGAACCGAGAGTGTAAGAGTGAGAATGTGAGAGATCGTCACCCTCAATGATTGATTAATAATGATAGCAATAATTATAGTAATAATATCCGTTTGGTATCACAAAAAAAAGTAAATAGTACCCACGTTAGTAGAAATTACTGGAAGCTCCCCTGCGTCCCAGTTCACAAGTACACATCAGGCGTCCAGATAACTATCTACGTATATCTATTACTACTTATAGTTAATTAACTAACCAGATGAGCTCATGTCAGACAGAGCCTTGTTATGGATCACAAGTAATCTTAGTACTTAACTAGTAGTGACTGTGATTAATAATATAATAAGAGTCAGCTTCCTATGCCAAGAGAAGGATGATGGATGATGGATGATGACGAGGATAATCTACAAGATGATGAGTTAATTGTCTTATTATATGAGATATTATATGAGATAGGCAGCAGCAGCAGAAGAGGAAATAATCGAGTCGAGGTTGTTTCGGACTAACCGAAAAGAGACCCCGCTTCGAAATTTCAGATGTTTAAAACTTAACGCCGGACAGGAAGTAAGTGGAAGTAAGAGAAAAGTAGGCTTATCTCCGACCCACCGTTAAGAATGATGACAAGCAGCCCAAACAAACAGCCCAAACATCAAAGTCAAAACGAGGAAAGTGCGCCAGGAAGATGATTTCCTCGCTGAATCCGCGTCGCTCCTTCCGCTTCCAGAGCCATTCGGGTCCAGCCGACCCCTGAATCCATGGCTCCCGTGACCAATCACATTTCTAGAAACTGACATCCGTGGACCTCATCTTGACTCATGAGTAAAAAAGAAGAACAAGATGAAAAAAAAGACCCACCGCAGTTCACCCGATGGAATGTCCAGCTTTCCATCGCCTTCTTGCTGCAGTTCCAATTGTCAGCAAATCCACTCCTTCGATTCAGTTCCGCTACCTGGTCCTTCCGTCTCTCTGCGCTCTCTGATTGCTTGGTTAATTCCGTCTGCTTGTCGTCGCCGCCACGGATATGGACCCTGGTCCGTTTCGGGTCCATTTGGCATGGCTACAAGCCGAGTCTATTGTCAATGCTCGTTTGCAATCCTGACAAATCCGCCTCCAATCTTGCCTGTCTTTCTCCAGTTCTTCCCTCATGAATATTTTTTTTTCTCCAAAGTGGTCCCGCGGCGTTAGCGTCTGATAACGCCGGCGCCGCCAATATCGTTTATACCCGTGATGCAACGTCCTCCCCTCCTCCACTGACTTATTTATTATCTTTCTTCCCCCTCCTTAGTGTCAGTGGATGGCTCTTGTTTCTTTCTCCCCTTGAGTCGGTTACGGTCTTTCTTTCTTTCCTCCTCCACCCTCACCCCAATCTCCACTCCTCTCAAGGCGTGTGCTGGAGCTCCTGGAGCGCCCCAGTCCCGTGCCGCATCAACCCTCTACATACCCCCCTAACTGCACTAATCATCGTCTTTATCTTTGGCTGTACATATCTTCCATACATACTCCAGCTAAACGTTGATAACATCCCTTGCCTTCCGTATTCGTGGCATTACCTATTAATATCTATTTATTATCCCTATCCTTT